TATACTACCGCAGGATTTTTAATTTTAAATTTTCGTTAAAATGTAATCTTAGCAAATATATGTATACTTACAATTTAACAGTAATAATTCAGCTTCATTTGCTCTATAATCTAGCCAATTCTCTAATAAATACGTTTCAAGAAGGTTTAAAATTAAACTATCCATTATTCCATTAGTTAAAAGCGTTCTTTCTGTTCAAAAAAAAAAAAACATTGCGCAATTAAAAGTACAATTACAAATGCATAATCGAATAAAATAAAAATAAAAGATTAACAAAATTATGCGGCTGTGTATTCATTACATAACGAATATTTAATAAACAAGTTTTGTCACCTGTACAATATGCAGGTTCGAAAAGAAGCACGTTTATTTACACATTTATTTAAGAACCGTTGGCTTAGTTTAATCGATCAGAATGTAAGAGTACATAACATAAAATGTATGTACTTATGTACGTATGTACTTATATAGTGATTTCTAGGTATTATGCTTCCCATCGAGGTGCTATTAAAGAATCATGAAATTCTATTTCCGTTTTTTATACTCACGATCGTGATGGCGTGCTACGAGTTTTTAGTAACTTCCGTTTTCTATCGTGTAGATCACCAATAGGCACGGCCAGGCATCTCTTTTCGCGATCAGTCAACGGGACGTCGAGAGGCTCTTCAACGTCGTGAATCAATGCCAGGATAGGTAGGGCTGAACTGTTAGTAATGTCCGTCCTCCAGGACACTGTTTCCTCGCTTGACGAAGTTGCTCCGTTTCCACGCTGGTTAACGATCGCCAACCACGGTTGTGCCGTTTTTTTCTCCTCCCGTGACAAGGGTTGTTGCTCTTTCGATGGAGCATTCTCGTCGAAGGAATCTTTCTGAAAGGAAACTGAGCAACGATTTATACTTTATCGATGTGCTCGTACTTGATTTGTTTTTCGAAATGTTGCAGATTCCATTCGGTTTAAATACAATAAACATCCGAAAGAATTTAAGAAGATGTGTACGGTGAATTTTCATTTTATTTTGTATGATATGATTCAAAAGTATCAAGCAATAGCAAAGAATAATCGAGGACCGTTTAAGCCGGCATTGAAGCAATTTTTGAAGCTTAAAAATACGTAGAAAACGATAGTCTCCTAATATTATCTGGATAAATCGAGATTAAATTCGTTCGCGAACGATGATAGTCACGATACGTTATTTAATCGTTTGCATTTGAATAAATTCATTCGATCGCGTTTTTATTCGATTGTTGCCAGATTTTATAATCTGTTCAATTGAATCAAGGTAACATCGAACCAAAGGGAATTTTATAGTCACGATAAGTATGTTTACCAAGTAACCTGATTTAATGGGCCGGTATTCGCAACACTTGGCCATTTACTGAAAACTGGGCCAAACGATATCTCGTGTCATCGATTCGGTTTTACAGGGCTTAAATGAGCTACCCAATATTTTTCCACGAATCGTATTTCACATCTACTTTTTTTCCTCCATGCCATTTCATTATCAAACCTCGTTCATAAACTCCACGTAGAGAAGAAGAAGAAGAAGAAGAAGAAAATTACAAAAGATCTGAGAAACCAATTTATTGTACAATTCTTTTTATTTCTCTTGTTTTCCTAAGCGTTAGCAGAAACATTACGAAAGACATTGGATGTATCTGATAATTATAAAAATAGGCGATACAATGCGTTTCGATTTATTCAACAGTGTCTAATCAACCAACGAAGTTCGAATCAATCGACACTTGTCACGATCCTTAAAATACGTACTAGATATACCCACGATACTTCACGAACAATCGTTCTTAGAAGTTTCACCCGTGTTAAATCGTATCGGCGTTTACCCTGACCGAACAATGAGCCATCAATAGAAGTGCAATTATTAAAACCCGATTACGTGGCGAGTTTCAATGGAATATTTCGCCTTCAGGGTCAGTGGCGTAATAGAGAAGAAGTTTGGTCGATTTAACGTGTTCGATCCTCTTATTGTCTTCACCGGTTTCATGTCGTTCCACGATAGAAGTTTCCTTTAATTAGCGACGATATACCTACGTATTAAAAGAACCAAGTCCCTGTTAGAACGGCGCGAAAATCCATCGTAAGGAATTTCCATCCTAGATTTCGTGCAACAAGAATTCCTGTGATAAGAGATTGCGAGAGATATACCTGTGTGATATTCAAGATGAAACGATCGGAATGAACATGGAGATGATCTCGCTTACGTAAAAATGCCTTTAAAGTTAAATTTTGGTCTACTTAACAAGATGGGTAAAGGCAACATTCATCACGTATTAACTTCGAGAGATTTATTACAGCATTAAGTGTTATTTCTCTTTACAAACTGAGAAACTCATGATAAATACGATTTTTGATGTATTTTGTTTCTTTGAAAGTAATTTACGTCAAGTATACTCCATTTATCGTCGAATGGAAATTAATCATTAATATTCTATAAAAATAATTATTGATACGAGATCTACAACCTTCTCGTTTAGTTAAATACAATTAGATATAATACGACGAATGATTTGTGAACAAGTATTAAGGATACTTAATTTTTTCAGTGAAACGTACGAACGAACTGTTCTTGTCAAGAGCTCTTCGGTTTTCTCAAAAAATTGAAATTTCACCATAATATGTATTTTTTATGGTATTATTTTAAAGTGGTATTATCGCGATCCTTTAACGAAGTTGTAAATCTTTCGCGTGAGAAAACCTTTGAAAAGTTTGCAGAAGATTACGTAGAGATTCGTGCGGATAATGAAGAAAAAAGTTAACACCGCGTTTCGTACGTGTTCTTTTCTTCGTACTTGAAGGCAGAGCTGGTAGACGAAGATGGATATTTCGAAATAATTCGCGGCATGCGCAGGCCTCGCGTGTCTTGCGTCGTTTCTAATTAACTCGTTCAATTGTTATTCCACGATCGTCATCGGAATTACACGCGCACGTGTGTTATTAAATTCCTGCACGTAATCTCGTCGCAAATATCGAAAACATTGTCATTTGCAAGTCAATGTGTTAATTTAATCGTGCCTTATATAACCAACGAATGATTTCGCGGAATTTACAATTAGATAATTGAGACACTTTGAATTCATATCAGTTTTTATAAGTCGTATAGCTTTTATCGGAAGCGCTACAGAATAGTGTATTATCACAAAACAATGTTCGTTTACAAGCAATCTACGGCAAAACGGCTATAAAAAAAAAAAAAAAAAAAAA